AAGAAAAATATTTTAAATAAATAAATATTAACTTCAGATGTGAGGTCTGTCAAGATTTTGTCAGGTCAGAGGACCCCACATTAGCCATTTAGCTACACTGGCCAGACTTTTTTGATGTGGGTAAGATCCAGGAAGGCCAAATGGGCTAATGGTTTGGGGAAATCTTCCTGCCCAGTATCTTCCCAGCACCTTACGTTACTCTGAGTAATTCTCTAGGGACTTATAAAAAATCCACAAGGTTAAGCATCTTGACTCTCACACCAACCCTGCAAGGTAGGAATATCGTAAGAGAATTAACTTAGCTGTCCTGGCAGAATTCTGCAGAGCTCCAGAGCACATGCAGAGTGCAAGTCAAACAGCTGAGCAGCAAATGAACATAGTATTATCCTAAGAGATAACTAAACTAAACTAAGTAACTTCTCTCCCCATTTTTATACCCAACACTACAGCTTTTGGACCCATTGCCAACCAGGCATCAGATAGCCCTGAACTTTCTTTAAGAAGAGAGTAACTTCTTCAGCTGAAACCATTCTTGCTCATCATCTCTGTACCAAGGAACCAGCTCTAGCCTTGGAGCTTTCCTTCTCACAGAGAAAACACATAAGTGTTTCTGCCTTCCAATTACAATGGGTACTTTCTCTCCCTGCTCCTAGTCAGCTTGTTCCAGGCATGAACTAAATCACTTAGATTCCAAAAGAGCAACTGAAACCATGATCCTCTATTTCCCAGTTTCTTGATAAGGTCAGTCTCAGGAGTGGACATTCTGAAAACCCTGTTCAAACCATTCCTCTGAAATATCTGATTGTTGGCTAGCTAAATATTTCGATAAACCTATGGGACTTTTGTTTATTATCTTTATATATTTATTTCTGGTACAATTCAGAAAATACAAAGCAAAGGGCATTTCAGAAAGTTATGAAATGTTTGTTGGTTTGTTTGTTGGTTGGTTTGCTTTATATATTTATTTATGGTACAATTCAGAAAATACAAAGCAAAGGGCATTTCAGAAAGTTATGAAATGTTTGTTGGTTTGTTGGTTTGTTAGTTAGTTTAACATCCTATCTTTACCTCAATGTGTTCTTTTAAGGTGATTTGTGTTAAACGACTAAACACACACACACATTGTTAGTTAATTTAATATCCTATCTTTACCTCAATGTGTGCTTTTAAGGTGATTTCCTAGTAACAGTCTTGTAAAATATAGTGAGCAGTAGTGTATTTCCATTTATAGTAATAATGTCTAATTGTGATATTTGCATATTTTAGTTTAAATTAGTACATTCAAATTTAATGCAAAATTGTCTCCTTTTTGCTAAGGATGTCCTTCTTTTTACTGTTTCTTGTTCCTCATGTCCTATTTTCTAGTTTGTCTTTCGTCCTTTTAGGCGATGGTACAGTACCCCCCACCCCCACTGAAGGATATGAATGAAATGAATTTATGAGCTTCGGTTAGAAACAGATTTTTCTTAGAAGACAAGCTGCAAGCTGACATTTTATTTTAGTATTGTCTTTTTTATGTGGCTTGTCAGAAATATATCTTGGAGAACAGTGTGAATGTACTAGTGACTACAAGAAGGGAGGAGGGAGGGAAGGAGGGAAGTGCTGAATCAAGGGAAGGAAGGAAGGAAGGAAGGAAGTGCTGAATCAAGATGCAGGCTAGTACATATTGGACACCACTTAGGAACCAATAACAATTGTCAACATGTGCAATTACATTTATACACAGGCATTAAAGTCTTGACTACATAGTCATAGATAAAGTGTACATGGATGCAGATTGTTGGCATCCAGATATGAAACCGTAATATTATATGAGACTTTTAAAGTGTTCCCTGCAGAAAAGAAAAGGAACTTTCCAGAACATATTGGAGCTCATGTGGTTCAAGCAATTTTTTCATTTATTAGTGAAATGCAGAATTAGAATTTAGAACCAATATTTGTGTATCTTATGTCCTCAGACATTGTTGGTCTGCATGAACAGTGCTGAGTATGATGGTAATATCTGGAGACTCAAAGTTGAGAAGGATTGATTTATGTGATTAATATTCCCAATTTCTTCTTTTAAATAATAATTTAACTAGCAGAAGGTAATATGTAAAATTATATGGGTAAGAGAATTGAAGCACAATGGCCAGATCAGGTTATGTAGTAAAGTGAATTTACTTGTGTCTGGACAGGAGCATGAGAAACATATCACTTCAGCCTTTTCTTTTTTTTCCTTTCCTTTTTTTTGGGGGGGGGAGGGAAAGCATACTTCATATTCATAGCTCTGAAGCAAGCTGTATGAAATTTGATAGGTTTGTAAGGTCTGTCATATCATCAGATATCATGCAAGAACAAAAAAATGTTGTAGCCATTTTTGTTTGCCACTGTTATGTCAGTGTTAGGATTCAGACCTGGGGCACCACTCCAGACCAAATTAGGATACATTCCAAACCTCCAAATTGGCCTTAAAATCAGGCCAGGGGCCTGTACACAAACCTATTAGAAACCTCTTAGTACAGGGGTGTCCAACCTTTCACCTTCCCTGGGCCACATTAGAAGATGAAAATTTGGTTTGGGCCGCACATACATTTGGTTTGGGCCGCAGGGGGGGGCAGCCCTAGCCGTCCTCCGCAGCCCCGCTCCAAGTGCGCTTACCGGCAGCTGCGATCTCAGACAGCAGAGGCTGCCAGCTTGACTCCGGCGGCTTTATGGGGCCGGGAGGGGGTCCACCTATTGACGGGGACGGTGCAATGCAGTCACGCAGCCCCCCTGTCCCCTCCCCTCCCCCTCCTTCCTTCCTTCCCTCTCTCCCCCTCTACTGTTGTGACGTGCCCCCGCTGCATTCCGGCCGCAAGCGCCGACAGTGTAACTTGAAACTTTGGAATTTCTTTTTTTTAAATTGTACTAGGCCGCATTACGAGCTGACCAGGGCCGCGTGCGGCCCTCGGGCTGCAGGTTGGACAAGCCTGTCTTAGTATCTTCATGCAGTTTTCTTTCTCTGTGTTTTCCATTCTCTCCATTCACCCTTCTTAACTGGTTTTGATTTCCTACTTCCAGGGCTTACATAATCTTTCTTATTCCTTGCTCTTTTCCCCACCAACCCCCAAGCACCAAAAATCCTCCCTCTCTTTTTCCCTATTTCTATGTTGTTTGAATTAGCAACATGAAGCATACTCAGAAAATTTCTCATTCTCTGCCATTTTCTGAGTCTCGTTGTACTTAGACTCTTTGCTGAGACCTCCTCCTGCACCAGTGAGATTTCCTTGCTCCCCATAAAAATAAGATCCCCAGTGTTGTTTTTCCCACATATTACTTTTGTTTTTCAACTCTTTTCTTCAAGAAATTGCCACGGCAACATATAAGAAGAATGGTCTAAGGCATTCACCTAAAAGCTAATTGGGATGGTGCAAGATGTAGGGCACAAACAGTTCTGTCCACCAAGAGGAGTCCCCAGTTGTGCTACCACTGCTTTTCCTATGATCATAGAATAAAGGAGTTGGAAGAAGCCAATAAGGCCATTGAGTCCAACTCCCTGGTCAGTGCAGGACTCCAAATCTAAGTATATCTGACAGATTGTTGTACAATTTTCTCTTGGATGAGAAAATTCATCACCTTCCATGAGAATTGGCTCCATTGTCAGACTACTCTAGGAGTTAGAAAGTTTTTCCTGATATTCCGCTGAAATCGGGATTCCTGTAACTTGAGCCCATTATTACATGTTCTGCACTCTGGGATGATCAAGAACAGATCCTTCCCTTCCTCTGCATGGCTTCCTTTCAAGTATTTGAAAAGTGCTGTCATATCTCCACCAGTCTTCTTTTCTCAAGGCTAAACATGCCCAGTTCTTTCAGTCTTCCTCATAGGGTTTGGTTTCGACTCTCCTGATCTGTCATCTGATAGTGTTCCTTACCACCTAAAGGTAGAATCAGCCCTTCAAGAGAGATCAGAGATGGAGATGGGCAGATTGGGATCTAAACTACGACCCACTTTAAATACAGGCTCCAGTGCATTTTACTTAATTTATCATACTGGAAATGTAAAGGTTGCTCTTTTATGGGGGCATTTTAATGGAAAGTTTATATCTTGGACAACACACAGATGGATTTTCAGTAAAACCAAGTGCAGTGCTTGACATTTCACTTTACTGCAAAGTCTTTTTTAGTGCCGGTTTTAAATGTTAGACTGCTTTGGTTTCTTTTTATTTCTCACACTCTCTTTTTGAGGATGGTAATTTAGTGCTTACAAAACTGAGACTGATAACATTGACTGGATCTTGAAAAAAAGCATAATTGGGTGTGAGGAACGTGCCTCACATTTGTCTGATAACATTTCAGTCTTGCTATTCTATCTGTATACCCTTCAAGACTACACAGCCACTATGGTTTTACAAGGAAGAATGCATCATAGACAGATATGAGACTAACAAATAATCTTGGCTTTGAAATAAAAACGGATTTGTGACCACAGTTCTTTAGTTTCTGGAGACCCTTACCAGCCTTTGTCAACCTGGGTGCCCTCTAGTTGTATCATTCTCTACCACCAAAGCAATGCCAAGGAGGAGTGAAATAAGCTGTCTATTACTGCTAAAGACTGGCATGTTGGAGAAAGCTGCTCCATATCATGACACGCCATGTCTCCTCTCAATTGAATTTAACTATACAGTTCTGTGTATCTTCTGAGCTCAGTTCTGAAAACAAAATTACTTGGTTTATGACTCATACTGCATTATTGCAATGTATAACACAAAATATTGCATATTTAAAAATAAATAAATCCAGCTGATGCTTGAAATTATCCATATACATGACAAATGTGTGGTTTCTAGAATTACCTGAATGCCAGACTTGGAGATGTGCTGAGTTCTCTGCTGTCTATATTTATATACTGTATTTATATATTTTCTATGTGTTCTCTACCTGCAGCCCCCCCCCCTTTTGATCTACCTCTGAATGTAATCCTTACTCCAAATCTCGATCTCTTCAGAAAATAATGCTGTTTCTTCTTTCTGAGTGCAGGGCCTATAAGCAGTGTCTTGGTGAACAAATATGGCAGCAGGCCGGTCATGATAGCTGGAGGGATACTTGCTTCATTTGGAATGATTGCCTCTTCTTTCTGCAACAGTGTCCTGGAGCTTTACATATGTATTGGTGTTATTGGAGGTAAGTGACTCATCAGCATCTGCCTAGGAACCATTTAGTTTCAGCCCACCTACCCCTGTTATCTTGCAGCCTTTAGATATTTTAATACACCTTCAGACAATTTGTACCTGATTATATTGCAATCATTCAACTTAAGGATGTGCATTATTTGCATATTACCTATGGCACAGCATTGCAATTACAGTTTAGGAACTGATTGGTTAGTAGCAGAATTTATTATAGGTACTTGCAGTCCAATTTTTATAGTCATTGTTTTAAGATTTTAATCATTCTTGCCAACAGGTGTACTTTCAGACAGACCAAAGAAATTACCGTTCAAATCAGATGCCAAAGCCAAGTCATCTGTTATTGTTATTGTTGTTTCAATTTATATACTGCTCCATAGTGCTAGAAAACTCTCTGGGTGGTTTGCAACATAATTATGGAAACGACACTTTGCTCCCCCAGCAAGCTGGTACTCATTTTACTAACCTCAGAAGGATTGAAGGCTGAGTCAACTCAACATGTTGGCATTGAACTCAGGTCATGAACAAAGGCTTTGCTGTGTTACAAGCTTATTCATAAAGTGAAGAGAGTTGTAGGAGAGTTTTGATGTAATCAGGTAATTCTGATTTACTACAGGAGTCCATGCATAATTCCGAAAGAGTCCAAATATGCCTCCCCTACAAATAATAGGGCACCTATGTATATTTATCTACTCTAAAATAAGTCTTTTTAATTCAGTTGTGGTTATTCCCAAGTTAATATATACCAGTTTACAGACTATTCCCGCCATTAAAATTGAATGTTAAAGCAAACAATGAATGATGATACCCACATCTTCTGCATAACAAGATGTCCAGCCTTGACTGAGGATATAACTACTGTGCAGAATATATTCTGAAAAGTATAAGGAGAAGGAGTGGCACCCCAGCCATAGAACAGCATCCACAGAGGAAAGGGATGCTTGTTTAGAAAGCATGAAAACATGCATGGTTAATTCCAGCCACTGCCACACAACGTAACTCAGCTATAAGATTATCACAGGCAAATTGACTGCCTGCATGTTTGGGTCGATCCCTTCTATTCTTCTGCATTGATCATCCTTTCTTCACCTCTTCCCCAGATCCTTTTAAGTCTCTCCCTCCAGGGAAAACCTAAGGATCTCACCATGCTATATGAGGGCAGCATTTTCTGTGTAATGGTCCATGTGTATTAAACCCTTTAAGCCTGATTTTATGCGTACCTATTCAAACCTATACAAGGGATAAAGCTAAAGGCAGAGAGGATTTATACTTCTGAAATCTGCTGTTTTTGTAGAGAAGGTGACATTTAATAACTTCAGTGAAATGAACCAAGAACAAATTGGATTATAGCTTAGTAAAATACAGAAACAGTGTGCTCAAGGTCTTGATATCATTGTTCCCTCTGTCACTCTGTTGTCTGTAACATGGATTGTGCATTGCTCTAGCATTTGCTTTTATTACACTGCAACAGAGGAAAATGAGGGAAATTTAGTGTGGCATATCAATGGCATTAAAACACACAGAAAGCAGTAATGTTCACATTTATTTCCCAGTGTTAATCTTCCTTGGAATTGCAAAAAAGAAGGCATTTTAGTTTCTTGTTTTGTTCTTCTTGGTCTTTTCCTTTTCTTTGCAAGAAGCGGAAAGGTAGTAATTTTGGTTGATTACAGAGATGAACTTCAGTGTATTAAAAGCAGTAATAATAAGTTTTCTTCACTATCTTTCTTTCAGGTTTAGGCTTGGCTTTCAACTTGCAGCCTGCCTTGACGATGATTGGCAAGTATTTTTACAAAAAGCGTCCCATTGCAAATGGACTGTCCATGGCTGGAAGTCCAGTCTTTCTTAGCACCCTGGCACCTCTCAACCAATTTCTTTTCAATGCTTTTGGCTGGAAGGGAAGTTTCCTCATTTTGGGAGGGCTCCTTTTGAACTGCTGTGTAGCAGGGTCACTTATGAGGCCTGTCGGACCAAATCCTTCAACGGCTGGAAAAAAAGATGTTGAAAAGGGAAAAGGAGATTCTGCTTTGCACAAGAATGACAAGAAATCCATTTGGCAAACAATCAACAAATACTTAGATTTATCTCTTTTCAAACACAGAGGGTTTTTGATTTATCTGTCTGGGAATGTTATCATGTTTCTCGGATTCTTTGCTCCTATTGTGTTCTTAGCTCCTTATGCCAAGCACAAGGGAATTGATGAATATTCTGCTGCTTTTTTACTATCCATCTTGGCTTTTGTTGATATGTTTGCTAGGCCATCCATGGGCCTAATTGCAAACTCAAAATACATACGACCCAAAATCCAGTATTTCTTCAGTTTTGCTGTTTTATACAATGGGGTCTGCCATGTCCTGTGCCCACTGGCTGACAGCTATTCGGGCCTTGTTGTGTATGCTGTTCTTTTTGGATTTGCCTTTGGAATGGTTAGCAGTGTCCTTTTTGAGACATTAATGGATCTTGTTGGAGCTGCAAGGTTTTCCAGTGCGGTTGGACTCGTTACAATTGTAGAGTGCTGTCCTGTTCTTTTAGGTCCTCCACTGGGAGGTAAGTATTTATTTTTAGTTATTTATTCTACTTATATCCTGCCTATCTAGTCAAGCAGATTTAAGATGATAATAAAGTTCACAATGATGATGATGATTTTTTAACATAGTTTTCTTTGAATTATTCATGCTAAGGTCATGCAGCCAGTAGTTTGTCGGGTTAGCTCAAGTCAGTGTGTGAAATATCCCTCCCTGACTACCTCATTCAGAGGCTTTTTTCCTGTGGACTAGAGCTTCATCCCTCCATCAGCTACTGAATACCACATGGAGGGCTGTGTGTGTGTGTGTGTGTGTGTGTGAATACACATACACATTTTATGTGTATATATCCATGCGAGAGAGAGAGAGAAAAGGAAAGAGGGAAACTAGCAAACCAGAAATATTTGAATTTTATGGCCAGATGTTTTATTTCTTCATCTGATTCAAATAAAAATGCACCATTTTATTCATTATTTGCCAGTTCTAAAAGTTCATTATTATTCATTATGTTTTACTTTCCGTGCATACCTTTATTCAGACCAGCTGAAGAAAACAGAAGATAACATGTTTTGTTATAATATTTAAATACTGTTTCTGCTCTTGTTAGTCACTATAAGAAATATATGTTCCAAGTAATTAACCTAATCTTTCCTGGATCCAGAGCAGACATGTTTGAAGTGATGCTTGATGCTCTAATAATCACATATAGATATAGATACAAATGTAAATGCAGATATATTTATTTATTTATTCATTGGATTTCTATCCCGCCCATCTAGACCAAAGGTGATATACTAGATATAGATACAGATATACATATACATTTCTGTATAGATACAAAAAATATTCCCAGTTATCTTCTTAGCCTCCTGCTTCCATCCATACTTTCGTTAGGCTCTGCTTCCTAACCTGCTGCCAGTACTCATCCTTCTCCTTCAGCCAGCCTGCCACCTCAGTCAAATTTCTTATTCTTTGGCACCTCTGTGAATGCAAGACACATGGTCCTTCCTTTCACTGGTCACTGTGAAATTTTTGCACAACTCTGTTTTCTGTTTTGGGTTCTCTTTCCTCAACCCTTTACCTCATCTGTCGTTTATAGCCCATGATGCCTGTTTCTCACATCACCATCTACTGTGTCAAGTGCAATTTAGGCTCCATGCACCACACATGTTTCTTTATAGCAAATGTTTGCAGTGGACACTTCTGGACAATTCTCATTCTTGCCTCTGGACACCAAGAGGCAAGGCAGACTAGTAGGGCATGGTGTTGGGTGCAGGTCTTCTTGATTCCACATGGAGCTATTGCTTCTTTTCATTACAAATCAGATACAATGGGAAACACTGTATTTTCACTGGATATTTGCTCACAATGAGCAGACACAGATTCCCTTCTCAAAATGTTTATTGTGATTGTCTTTGAAACCCTTCAGATAATGATATTATTCTTGCATTCCTAAGCATTTCCAAATCTCCCTTTTAAAGTGTTATTCCAGGTGCCATCGTCTTTCACAGATCCAATTTCCAGCTATCTTATATTCTTTATCAAGAACTTTTTAGTGGTCATGTATGGAATGTGAGATTCTGTGCTTCAACAGAATGTCAAAATACTCTTCAAAATACCTTTCTGACACTGTTGTAGATTGTTTTTACTCAGACCTAGAAATTCCTTTTTTTAAAAAAAATGGGTGTTTCAGAAAAGCTGCAGTAAGTGCTGTCTAGACAGAATGTGTGTCAGTGGCAAGGGAAGAGGAAAGAAAACTCTTCCACAAAGGTTCTTGTGACTTTGAAATTCATTTGTACTCAAGTCTGTAGACGTTAAGGCGATTCCTAATGAGTGCAAACTTTGCTCATATTTTCAAATCTGGGGTTTCAGATTGTTGCCATTTATATTTCAATTCCGACCAATAAAGATTACAAATACAAAGATTACAAATACAATCCATTGCACTCAGGATGTTTTAATTAAACAATTGTTTTTAATTGGGATGGGGGTAATGAGGGGAGAGATTTTTTTTTCCAGGTAAAAGCAGATCACTGAAGCTCTCAGTATGCCACCTAGTGGACTGAGCAGCCTTTTCTCATTTATTAATGTTCAGTCCCTCTGACAATTAGGGCTGTAATCCAAAATTAAATTGATTAGAAAAGACATCCCACTGAACTCATTGAGACATGCGTATTAAAAATCCTTAGATTCCACTGTAAATGTTAAGGCACTTTACAAAAGGTCCCCAATTTATTTTCACATGTATCTTTTTAAAACAGGCCCTACTTCACTTACTTTCATCATACTGAGCCCTTCCAGTGCCTATTTTTATTCAGTAGGTGGGAAATTCATAACTACATTTTGTTGCATCCTCTGTCAATCCATTGGAGGATAAGATATAATTTATTTTTAGTTGTTTTATTTCATCTAACAAAATTTACTCTGTTCTCTCTTCTCTCCCTCTCTTGCTCTCTTAACACATACATATGCTATACACCACACAACTGACAGTTCTTGAAGCCAGGCATTGTATATTAATAAAACAATTTCCATTCATTGCTCACCTCATATTACTTATATCGGTTTTATAATGTTATGTTGATGGTTATCCCACTGAAGTTTCGACTGTAAGGCTTAATAATGGTATACATCCGTGATTTTAAATAAATTTGATGTATATGTTTGAGAGGACCACCTACATTGGCAGTTACTTCAACACATAAGAGCCATTTTGAAATATATTGATCTTCTTTTCATTTGCTTTATATGAATTTTAGCATATTAAAATAGCAATGCTAACTTGTTTTTTAAAAAACTTAATATGTCACAAGCATGTTTAAAAAAAAAAAAAAACTTTTTACGTTTCCAAAAGTGGAATTCAGAATTTTGTTTCTTTCTGAAAGAATTATCTATTTTTTTCTTCAGTATTATTTGATTTACCTTCCAGGTTTGCTTGTGGACATAACCAAAGATTACAAATACATGTATTTTGTCTGCGGCGTAATTGTCATCGTGGCAAGCATCTGGCTATTCATTGGGAATGCAATCAATTACAGACTTTTAGCAAAGGAGAAGAAGTTAGAAGATGAAAGGCAGAGAGCTCTGAAGAATGCTGATTCCAAGGAAGTAGAACCTTTGACCAGCAAAGAGAAAGAAGAAATGGTCAACAGATCAAGCAAATTGCCAGATAATCCTTCAGAAAGAGAAACTAATATTTAACACTGAATATGTAGCTCAAATATGCATATTTATAACTTCCATTAGAGGTCTCTCTTCAACGTACAGGCCCGGTTTTGTAGTAATTATAATCAGTCACAATACTGAATGGTTATAGGAGTTGCAGGGGAGGAGAATCCAGCCAATTAGGTCACAATCCTGCTCTTCCACAGAGAAAATGAAAGGTGCTGAAGGATTGTTTTTTTTCTTCCAGAATTGCACTGTAACCTTTCCTTACCATGCTACTCCTGCCTCAAGTATGCTATATAATATACCTATAAATTCATGGGTAGGTGGAATGCTTCAGTATCTTCCCTTGGGGTAACCTCAGTCTCCCATGCTGTTGACCTGGGGTGTGAGCATGCATCAATTTTATTTTCATTTCATTCTCCAGAATCACATCAGTACACTTTTTCTGCCCATGATCCCTGTCAGCTTACGAGATACTTTTTAAAAATCCCCACAGAGAAATTCAGGTGTATTTTGATAACTCTTCCTAATGTATGCCCTTCCCCACCCCTATTTTTCTTAATATATACATTTTAATATATTTTTCCATGGGCATGCTTGTTCATATTTATCACATATGTGCATTTTTAGTTGTGCGCATTTACGACTGTAAAATCTGAAAAGGAAAGAATCAGATATGTACAATTTCCCTTGAACGACTGAAACCAAAACTATGAATTGGATCAATTCCGTTTTCTAAAAAACAAACAAGCAAAAACTCAGTTATTGAAAGTATTTTTTCCACACATACTTGTATCAGGCATAGCATGGTTTGGGGAAAGAGTTTTATGCTGCAGTCTTCTTGGGAGCTGCTGCCCCCACTCTATGTTTCCAATTTATGGACGGAACAGGATTGTGGTATTACATTTTATTCTGGTGTCAAGAGTATTGGAGCTCTTGCTGAAATGGGTGCAGGTGAATCAGTTCAAATGCAGACCCTGGTTAAGGTAGAACTTTGTCTGTTCTTCCAGTAACAAATGTTCTTGCTCAATAATATACATTGCATAAATATATGCATATATTGCATAAATATATGCTCATCTACTCAAGGACAACTGTCTTGAATCTCAAGAAAAATACATGCCAACATCTACTGACCTCTTTACTTGGCTCATTTGGGCCACTAGAAGGAAAGAATATGAAACCATGGGTTTAAATATGTATGTTTTTTTAAAAAAAAGTTAGGCAACTATTACCTTAGTAGAATACGCACAAAAATGATTAACTGTTTTATAGTGCATTTTGAGTAGATCAAAAAGGTCTGTTATTTCTGATCAAAATTATGTGGATTTTAAAGACATACGAAATCAGACATGAGGTGGACATTTTATAGCTAAATGCAATACATATGTTATAATTACAGTGCATAAGGGGTTTTCCTTTTGTTGTAATAGATTAGAAATTTAAATATTTACAGCCACATCCTAAGATTTGCAAATTATACTTAGGATTGACTGTATCAACTACTGTATCACTCTGATATCATAAATAGATATGTCAGCACAGATACTTAGGACCAGGGTATAACTTTTGAACAACATGCTGCCTTGTGATCACATCATACACATTTGAAATCTGTTTGCATTTATTTATCCCTGCCACATTTTCAAGCTTCTCTGTTCTTGGAAACCACTACAGTCTCAAGATGCTGACGGTAGTGTTTGCTGTACATACTCACCCTCGCTAATAAGAGCTGGAGATGATGTGTTATTGTTGTAGACTGTGTTCAACCATTCATAGGGCTATTTTGGACTAGACAGAGATCACCAGTTGGACAGGAATTGTCAATGCAATACTAGTTTCTTGTTTTTCCATCTTTTTGGTCTCTTTTGGTGGATTCAGCCACCTGAAGGCCAAAGAAATCATCTGACTGTTGTCGCCCAACCCATTCTGGAACTGTAGTGTCAACAGGGGAGGGGTTTTAGGGGTCCAGATTCAGTGCCTCAAATCATCCCAAAGGTCAATCATCCCAAAGGTGCTCCTATTGGTTATGCAGACCAGGGTTTTCCCAAACACTGAAAAACATAGGGGAGCAGCACTAGTCTGTAGGGAATGATGCGCTCTAGTAGATGCGCTTTATGACTTTAATACTAAAATCCATTTAATTTCTTGTTATATTTTACCATCTCTTCCTACTTTCAGTCTTCTATGGAAAATAGATATTAATTCTTTAATGAAGAATGGAGCCCTTCTGGCATTATGAGATTGTAACTCCCTGATGATAATTCTGACTAGGACTGATGGTGGTGGGGGCAGGGGGGGTATAATTGTATCTACAGAGCCATACATTCCCCACCCTGGTTGGGGGATGTATGGTTTAAAATGGGAGTTTTAGTCCGAAAAGTAATTCTTCTAGGCTCTGGATTGTGCAGCATATTGTAAAAGTACCGAAAGGCAGGATAGCAAAATTTGGACCATCATCCCTTAGGTCCCTGAAAACTAGCATATCCATTTTTAAGAGACAGTACAAGAGAAAATAAAGTGATAGCTTCAATAGAGTGACTGAGAGTTATTGCTGACTTATCTTTACTTATCTGCATGGAAGGAGTCTCTGTGTGATAAGGCACAGGCACAACTGGTGATCCAGATCATGTGAAGCTGATGAGGATGGAGCATTTTAGAAGTGGACTGTTCTTGCATGTCAGTCCATGCAAGTCTGCAGATGAGGCAGGCTGTGTGGCTGATGGTGGGGGGAGGCCAAAATCTGGCATATGTGCTCCACAATAATTGCATGATGCTTTAAGGCCCTTCCTGTGAGTAAACCAAAAAAAAAAAAAGAAAAGAAACGAAAGAAAAGAACAAGGTAAACAAGGATTTGTTTTTTAAAAAATGTAAAGAAGCTCCACAACAAAGACAGTTAAAGGCATTTTTGCTCTGCTCAATATACAGATGAGACAAGAAGGTACTATGCTTTCTATTGGGGATTTTTAAACTGATGTTTTTCAAGTGAGAATTCATAAAATGTGCTTCTGCTGTTTATGCAGAGCACACACACACACAAATGCTTCTAGGAAAGCATTGGGATTCTTCCCTGCTCCAATATTATTAAACCCTTTTCATTGCCCCTAAAGGAAGGTGACTGGCATATTCTCAAGCTGATTGAGTATGGTAACACTTGAAAGGCCTTCCTTTTTTTGGAGTAAAAGTTCCCCCCTCCCTCTCTGTGGCTCGTTGTTTCATGGCTGTTTTTAATTCCTCAGGAGCTTAAAGTGCTCGTAGTGCAATCTACTAAGGGTACAGTTAATACTACAGAATCATATGAATAACTGATAGAATACTAGTGAGAAATAGGTGGTCCACAGGCCACACACTGCCTCCAGGGCCATTTTTATAGCCCGGGGAACTGTTAGGGGGCCCAGGCACCAAACACCCCTAACTTTTCTTTTTAAAAAACAGCTCAGGAAGTTCTAGGGAGTGTGAGGAGCAATTCTGCCATGTTTAAAAGAGCCCCAACTATCCCTAGAGTCCACGATACCCGCAATAGCAGTTTTTCAGTTAACTAGTACATTTTCCCTCTTTTTTGAATAGTTAAACCAGTTTTTCAGTTAGCAAAAACTCAGAGGGGCAATGAGTATAGTGCCTTGCCACTGCACTAAAACAAAATGACACAAGCAAACAAACCAGGAAATTGGCCTCCTTGGCCATGCCCTGACCATTGAGCCTCATGCCATCAGACTGTGGCTCTAGGACTGCCAGCAAATCTCAAATATGGTCTTTGATCCTACCGAGATAATCCACCCCTAAATGGTATCAATAGAAATCATAAACAATAATTTAGGAAAGTTGTGGATTTTTTTACTTCTTCCAGTCCCTTTAAAGTGACAACTTAAGTGAGGCAAATCGTCCCTTCCTCATAGTATGTGATAGGATTGTGTCTTGCAGACAATATCTGAGGTAAAGTCAAGAATATTGGAATGGAATCTATATTCATGGATACATTTTCCCCTTATGACTTAGTAAATGAGAAGCATAGAAACTGAAATTTTGAACATTCCCAAACATTCCTTGTCTCTGGTTCTCAGTAAATCCAGGTTAGGTTCTTTTCGTTTCCATAGTCTGATCTTGATCTATTGTGGCTCAGCCCACTTTTGTGTTCTAGCAAATTATAAGGAGCAGGTGCTCATTTATTTATTTTTATTTATTGGCCTTACATACCGCCCCATAGTGCTACAAGCACTCTCTGGGCGGTTTACAATTTTTAATTATACAGGCTACTCATTATGAAGTTCCTATTGCCCCATACCAAGGACAGTCCAAAACTATGGGCAGCTTTGTTAACCCATTTAATCAAGAGAGCCCTAGCAATTCTGTTGTCCACTAGGAGCAGCTCTTTGGCCTTAAAGCTAATTAATATTAATTGGGCGGTTTATACCAAGCCATCTAATGATATTATAACAAGGACAGTTCAGTCAAAGATTGAAAATGTTTTTGTTTTTTGTTTTTGTTTTTGTTTTTTGGGTTTTTTTGGACAACAGCCATAGATTCTGGGGTTCTGGTAGTTGTAATCGAATAAATTGTGATCTAATCTTTGCTAGGAATGCAGCCAACATAAACCTCACAGAAACCAGAGCAGACTGAAGGGAGAATGGCAGATGACAGCATGCAATTCTCCATATTTCAACCCTCTGAACCCTGGTTCCACTACACTGCTGCTGCTTGCACAGTTTCTGAACTTGTCCACATTTCAGATTTTGGCACCAAAAAAACACAATGTAAGCAGCATAAGATCCAGATATTGTTCTTCAAACACAAATTACTGTGTTGGTGATTGCATTTTTCTAGCACTTCAGCTAAACTATTTTGTCTCTTTAAAAAGTATAAATCAAGGCTACAGCTGTGGAAAAGGGTTGCTTATCATCAAACATAAATTTTAGAAGGGAAAAAAGAAAGCTTATATTAGGACTGATACTTCAGCAAAATACCAGGAAATTTTAGGATGGGCTAATTAAAATAGTACTTCGGTCATCTTTCTGAGGGAAAAAAAATCCTCAAGAAACAGAAGGAAAGATCTGGGAGCTACATATTTCACATTGTTGTTTCCATTTTACATTTCACTACAGGTCCCATTCTCCAGCTTTTTTAAAAAAAAGATTCTGAAAGTGAAATGTAAAAAGCAGTCAAAAGAGTATCATTAAATCAGCAAAGAAATTAAAGAAGCAAAGTTTGCTTGGAAGAGAGATGGAAAGATCCAGAAAGAAAAGCAACTTCCTGTTTGGCATGTTGTAACCATGTAAGGGTCCATCTAGCATGTTTTTGTTAATTATTAGCAATTATTCTGTTGTCTTTTGGAGATATTTCTCTTGACAGAAGAAAATAGAAATGAAAACTGGGGCTCTACGTGTCCCAGTCATGATTCATAACACAGGAGCTTGTCTATGCCATTGCGCTGTGCAACAAATGTAAACTCTTCACACAGACCACAACAAGTCAGAATGGACATTACTATACAGTTGTACCAGGTACAGCCAACCTAGCCTGCTAACCAAAGGACAAAACCCACAGACATCTCTGACAGTCAAAAAAATGTGTTAAGTAACATCTTGTTGCTCTTTCATGTCGACCCAAATCAGCTGTCTGAAGTGCCTGGCTCCATCTGCTTGTTAATAGGGCCAGAACACCATTGAGTGGCTCCGTATTCTCTGAATAGCTGCTCCTAAAAGATTTCAAGTTTAAGACAAAAAAGGAACTTTCAGTCAATCATTTAGTTTCATCAAGTGTGTTCCATGTTGTTCAGCGGGAGGAATGTAATGAGTACTCACAAAATTTCTCTTTCTCTGCAATTTTTTTTTTTGAGTCATACTAAGACTTCCCCTGCAGCTGCAGGATTTCTGGGCTTCCTGAGGAAATGAGATGGTGTTCTTATTTCCCTTCTAGTTTGTCTTTTATTTGTTTGTTGCCTCATTGTTGTGCAGAGCAAACTGCCAAATTTTGCATAGCTTCACGCCCTTTCTGGTGAAACATTCACAGGGAAAATGCGATTCTATGCAGGTATTGTAACAATCCTGTACAG